GGTCTATTAAAAGCTCTAGATACTTTGTAAATGTAGAAGCTTTGTGACTGGTTTAATTCAGAAAAGAGAGACACAAAATATTATAAAAATGTGCCAATGAAAAACAGAAAAAAAGATTTGGTGAAATTAGTGTTACTTGATTAATTCTGAGTTTCTTTACATCCAATTCTTTGCTGGTCATTACGTTTAAATCAAATATGTTAATAACATTTTTAAGGTTCAAATCTGTGGTGGCGAAAACTATTACCTCAAGACATAATGCAATTTATAAATTCAAAACTAGTATCTTAATTTTGACATCATATTATATAGAAATACTATATTAGACCTATATCTAAGATGATATAATCACTGAGAAATAGGAACCTGCTATCTAGATATCACTTTACCATTTTTACATTAAGAAAATTAAAAGCTTAGAACCAAGGCTTATAAACAAGGAATATTGTTTTTCTGTTTCACTAATACTAACAGGAAGTTGGCTGTTTTAGTTAAAAAGATCTTGTTTATTTTACTTCTTCATCATCGTTGTGTATTTAACCTCATGTTTGTTTTAGACTTTCCATACAGATATACAGATATCTTTCCACCAGAATTCATAATTACTAAATAAAAAGCAATGTCTAGGTTGAGCGACTAAGAGTATCTGACGTATATAACTTCAGTAAAGCCCACTTTGGTTTTTAATGCATGTAGCCACGTGGTGGGCACTCGAAGACCTGTGATATCACATATCGAGAAAAAACAAACGAACCTGAAAAAAACATCCCCTATGTAAATAATAATAAGAAAAATTATTGAGCAAGATCTTATAATGGTTTCGAGCAAACTTTCATTATTAAAACAAATAGGTGGTTGGTCTTTCTAGAAAGCAATTATGAATTGAATTGATTATCAGTGTTGAAAATCGTGGCCTAGTACATACAGAATATACCAATCATTTTACCGATAAATAGTTAATATATTTTTGACAAAATATTTTAAAGTTACATTTAAATCTGAACTTACCATTACGTTAACGGAAAAGAAAACTGAATATCATATGTATTGTATTTTCGCTCTTCTAATTTAAAATTAGTATGTTTTAACATAATTTGAAGACAATTTTAAAACATGAGGGATCTCATCTGTACATCAATTTGATCCAAAACGTATTTCATATCTGAACAATAGCTCCAATGATACAAAAATTCTAAAGTTTTGCATAAATGATTTTTTATGAATCATTCTAAAACAATAAAGTTCAGATACACGAAAAAAAGAATCGTAAGTATGATATTATTTATAGTAGGAATAGGGCAGATACACAATAAAATGCAATACAAACTATTTACTCATATACATCTTTAATAACCAAATAATAAATCTTCAAAAGTATTTGAGAACACCTCAGTCGATAAACGAACCATATACAAAATTAAAAGTCATAGAACCACTTGAAAAAGTCAGCAGAACAGATACAAAAAATTCATAAAACCACAAATTTCTCAATCTCACTGACTTGACTTATATTATTATAATTCGATTCACAGATACCTGTAGTTATTGTATGATAAGCATAACTAAGTTTGATAAATTTATTCCACCTGGCTTATTGTATACACTATACAGGATAAAAAGAATAAACGAAAAATACATGGACCGCATGTTGGACACGCCCCTTTTGAGGTTGTACAAAGTAAGCTTTATTATACCATGCCCATTCTTACTTTGTTTTTCCATTTCTTTTGTGCACCCATTCCTACAATTTAAATTTCGTTTAATATTTTTTCCACTTGTATGGTTACAATACATATGGAAACTAAAATTTTCCAGTTAATTTATTTTGTTGTTATTATTTAGTCTCCTGGTACATAAACGATGAATTTAGTGGTTTATAATGCTAAAGTTCGGCGCTCGATCCCTGCATATAGCCCATGGTGTAAACAAACAAACATTATTATTGTTAGTTTTAGAATCATGATTGAAGTTGTTGGCTTTTTATGTTCACACTATGAAATATTTACGATTCCTAAAAAAAAAAAAGATTAAAAAGAAGAGTAACAATAGAAAACACCCAAACAATGTTTTCGTGACGATGTTGGAAATAAAAGTTTCTGTTTCAAATCTTGAACTACCATGTTTTAATAAATAACTTTTATACTTTTGTTTTCCATAGTGTACATTTTCAAAAATCACAAACATGCAATAAAGCTTCTTTCAGTACTAGGTACTGATAAACAACACAGTTTGGGAACATATGTTCTTTATATGATGTAAATCCAAGCTTCCAGTCCATGACCCGATCTTCTTTAATCAATCTATGGATGTGATGAGGGATTTAAGTTCTCATCAGATTAAATTGTTTGTTTGAATTTAAACACAAAGCTACACAATCGGCCATTAGTGCTCTGCCAAACATGGGTATTCGATACCCAGTTTCTAGCGTTGTAAGTCCACAGACATGTCGCTGTGCCACTTGGGGGGGGGGGGCATCAGATTACAAGATATTATTCTGTTCTTACTTGCATATGGGTATTGTAAAATTGAATGAAATATGGGGGAATGCAGTGTGTCTCTATCTAAAATGTAATTGTACGGAACTTTTTGGTTGTAACACATGTACAAAAACGTCATATAACGTTTTCGCTGTAATACATGCACGAAAACGTCATATAACGTTTTGGCTGTAATACATGCATGAAAACGTCATATAACGTTTTGGCTGTAACACATGTACAAGAACGTCATATAACGTTTTGGTTGTAACACATGTACAAAAACGTTATATAACGTTTTGGCTATAACATATGCACAAAAACGTCTATGTTAAGCATACTTGCCACAAGATGAAAAATAAAACAAGACTTAGAGACTTTATTGATGTGCGACTCTATATATTTGATTTCGATTAATGCCAATCTAAAGTTACTTGTTTGTTAACATTATTGTTTTCTCACAAGAAAATATGCGTGAAATAAGTTGATCCCAGTTCAAAGAGAAATTATCTCTACTGACGCTACTACTGATCTAAGCCTCATTCGAAAGGGATTAGTATGTATCAATTTTGCAGAATTATATGGTTTTTGACTGTGTTGTTTTGCTAACACCGTACCTGATAATTATGCTCTCTTTTATGTGTTTGTTCTGTTTTTTAATTTCGCGCACAGCTACACGAGGGCTATCTACGCTAGCCGTCCCTAATTTAGCAGTGTAAGACTAGAGGGATGGCAGATAGTCATCACCACCCACCGCCAACCCGTGGGCTACTTTTTTACCACCGAATAGTAGGATTGACCGTGATATTATAACGCCCCCACGGCTGAAAGGGCGAGCATGTTTGGTAGGTCGGGGATTCGAACACGCGACCCTCAGATTGCAAGTAAAGCGCCCTAACCACCTGGCCATGCCGAGCCTCTTAGATGAGATCATAAAACAAGATCAACACGTGTTCACTAACGTAGAGGATTCATGTTGCTTCTTTAAAATTCTCATGAATTAAAGCAGGTAAAGCATGCTATTTATTTACATTACCTTCTTGGATTGCTTAAACCTAATTTCATTATTCTTGTTACATTTACTATAAAGATACTTTGTTTTTGCATAGCAGCAAAATAAGATATTCATTTCTCAAAGACTGTTTACAAAATTTGTTCCTTATTTTATTCAGATAGGGCCTCGTCTCTGCTCGCACGCTGTGATATAAACCAGATCTGGAGTTAATGAAATACAATAACATGCGCGATTAGGAAATCATGTTGAAAAATATTTATTTATTTATTTATCTGATATTATACTACTAAATAGCATTTAAGATAAATGTTTTAAGAAAACGAAAGTCTAGAAGAAAGCACTTGCTACCCACAGTTCTAGTTCTGGAGAAAGGTTACCATGACTCTTTCTGCGAATATCATTGAGTTCCTATTTTGTTTATAGTTTAGCTGTACGATAACTCTTATGACATGTGAATAGAATTCATAGGATAAATAGTAAACAATGTTTGTTATTCATACCTCAAAGGAATAATGCTATTGATACAATTATCTTTCAACAAAACTAACAATGATATATTTAGTCCAATCTTAAAAACTCTCCGTTTTCATGGTGTGTAAATCTCGCGGCAACAGCTAGTACGTGTTTTATCTCTAAACCAACCTTCGGGTCAATGAGCACCAGACATATTTTTGTTTGAAATTTTATGGAAGCGTCACACGTCACGTGTAATCGTATTAACAGAAACATCCACGCCGTTTCACAACGGTTACCCGTAGCTAATGGCAACCATAGTCGACTTTTCCTGCTTCACGATGAACAGTCGGCTCAGGTTTAGCTTCAACAACCAATCATTTTGTAGCTGTCGTTACACTATTTCATGCTCGAAGCACATACTACAAGAGAATTTGTGCTTGTGGTTTCAGTACGCAGTAGCATACCCTGGCTAACTGTTGAATATATGTATTTTATATGTGAATCAGACATTGCTTATAACCCGAGGTCATTACATCATGCAAGTCGCCCTATGATTGGAATTTATGACAGTGAAAATCTTACCTTTCGACTAAACTCGATACAGCTGTATTTAGAGATCATAAGAGAGGCTAATTCGAAATTTTATTGATATCTTGACAAATATTTATATCTGGGAACAACACTTAAAAAATATTTAGAAACTAATTGATACCAATTCAAAATGAAAATCCAACTAACATCATAAGATTTACTCGTTTGATCTGTGGAAACAAGAGGGTGACAGATACACACGGTGTCCTGAAACACGAAACTGATCGAGTAGAAAAATGGACGCAACGAGCAAGTAAATTACTTTTCGGTATGACTGGATTAAATTCCGCGGGTGTTCTTCAATCTTATCGTCACTGGCGAACACTCGTGGCGACGGGATTAAGCCTCTCAATGATCTGCATGTTAGTGGTCGATATCCAAACTCATTGTTCTAAGCACAGATGGCGGCAGTATCACAGTAATTTTGTTCGTGGTCCATCTAATGAAAGGAAATCCACTAACAAATTAATAGTCCCAAACCAAACATTCGAAGATCAGAAAGAAAAAATACTAAGAGATCGCCTTCCAAGAAGCCTGTCGAAAAAAATTGGTCGAGAAACAAGTTCCACTATAGGCGCCTTGTTCAGGACTTTTTCTACGACTATGGGAACTTTCGTTCAAATACATTAAGTGATTTTCAGCAAATTCCCAAATCTACGTTGAAAACTAATTTGAACAGATTCCATTGGGGTCGTCGACTACCCAGTGCTCTAATCATCGGCGTGAAGAAAGGCGGAACGCGGGCTCTCCTGGAGTTCCTACGGCTTCATCCTGGCGTCCGCGGTCCGGGACCAGAACCACACTTTTTTGATAAGTACTATCACATGGGGACCGATTGGTATAGGTAAGATATTTAATCATAAGAGTCTCATTCAGAATTAGCAAAACAATAGTACAAACATCTATGAGTCTGAAACAACTAACGTATTATTGTATTTCGAAGAACCCATGAATATAAGTAAAGGATAACTTGTTATAATATGTCAACTATACTACATCTGCCATATTCAGTTCCGACAAGGCCTTTCGCTGAATACCAGGGCTCATCAGACCGGCTGGGATCCGCAGACATAGTAGTATGTTTATATTGGATAATGTTTAGATTATGAAGATTCACTAACATGAGTATAGGTTACATTCCTTGAAACTCTTCGCTAAGAAATGTATAAGATGATATGCCACGTTCTTTTTATTTTTATTAAGCCTTTCGGCTGAGTGTTGAAACCTTTTATAGACTCAACCCTATACGCAAAATAAATAAATAGGAAAAAAAAAAAAAAAACACTTCACGTATTTCCTCTTAATTATTATTTTTTCCATAACATGAGTATGATGCTATAAAGTCACGTTGTGGATGTGTATGCAAAACATGTTAGTAGTTATTATGACATACAGTTTATATATGTATATATACATATGTGTGTGTCTTCTATATACTTTGTGGCTAAGCACTTGTTTATGACTTATACGTTGAACTGAAGAATATAATTTAGTAGATTATACCATTGGTCGTTTATTTTAAACATTTCTGAAAAGTTATATCTTTAACAAGGATGAGGTGTAACATTTAAGAATAGTATTTAAATAAAAACATAACAGTGCCGAATGAAACAAAAGTTTGGTTTTATTTCACTTTTGCACAAAGTTACACGAGGGTTATCTGCGCTAGCCGTCCTAAATTTAGCAGCGAAAGACTAGAGAGAAGGCAGCTAGTCATCAACACCCACCGCCAACTCTTGGGCTACTCTTTTACCAACAAATAGTGGGATTGACTGTCACGACTTAAAAGGGTGAGCATGTTTGGGTGGGACGGAGATTCGAACCCGCAGTTGCGATTGGAGCAGCCTAACCATCTGGCCATGCCAGACCGAAAGAGATATTTACCGAAACGTAGCGGTTTGAAGCACATCATTCCCTATGAACTTCCTTAATCCCTGTTTATTTTATCAATGTGTAAACATGAATATACAGAAAGTACCATAAACTTTACTGGAAATTCAATTATTCATCCATAAATGATTTATTATTTTAACTAACCAGTAAAAAAACAAATAAAAAGTGTTTTACAATGAAACATTTTTTTTTAATTTGGAGTGCACTCACCGTTCAATTTTGTATTTTGAAATAAATGCAGATGTACTTTTGATAGGAGATGTTGGGAAAATTTTGAATGTCATCGTTGATACCTGTGTATGACGTAATCGTATACCAGCTTTGGGTACTCATAAACCCGATACAAATACATAGGCAGTTACCACCACCCACCTGCCCAGGTTTGAAACCTCCACCCCAAAATACTTTTTTTTTTATTCACGACCGATAACACGGGAGTTTTCCTTCTCAAAATGAATAATCCTATTATATTTTTAAACTAAGGTTGAGTAACTGTCAGCTTATTTTAATCGAACAAACTATTAGAACTTGTGTTTCTTTTTTTTTCTTAAGCTCTACGCAGTTCGACATATAACATGTTTCTTGTGTACATTGTAAAACACGTCCAGACTTCTAATCCGGATAATTCATATTAACTCCAGATCAGAGGAAGCTGACGCCAACAGATAACGCTAATCCAGAAGCTCGCTTTTGGAAAAAGAAAGAAAAAAGTGGTAATGAGTTGGGTTAGTACTTGTACCGCGTGGCTTTTAGTTTTTATAAACACGATGTTTTACCTTAAAATATGTAAATAGGATACATATAGTGATACGCCTGGAATATATATTTTTTTCATATCTGGTTCACGTCCATTACTCAGAATTAGAATGTCATTATAAATGTAAATGTTTAAGTTATTTGTATGTACTATGCGTCTTCTTAGTATTTTTTTTTCGAACATAATGTTTGACTTTTATCTGTATAAATAAAATATGCCGTTGTATCTGGAAAATGTAATATTTTGCATCTAGCTCGTATCTATGACTGTCGGAATACCACCAAAGTTACTGTACATCTTGGCGAATCATGTTTTAACAAAGTTATTAACTGGTATAACCTGACGCTTGACGTTAAGCACGAATGGAGCACTTATTGTATCAGTTATTTTCTTTGCAGCTTGGTTCAGCTGAGAATAGTGTCTAGCTGTTTAGTGAGTTGCAGCGAATTCTCGAGAGATACAGGTTCTGTTTATGTGTTATATCAACATACTGGGATCATAAACACCAAAATAAACTGATAAGCTAAACACACACATACATATACATGTATATAACTAACCGTTAGTGAATGAGGTTTGCAGAGAGACGACTGAAATAATGTGTTTTAATACACGATATCTGTATAAATTAGTATTTTGGTCTTACAAGTCAAGCGTTAAGGACATTGTGCAATTTATTTCATATTTAAGATACACTTCAAACTCTTCGATACATCTGTAAATGTGTATTATGTCTGTAAAAATAGAGATTTGACAAAATAAACATTAGAAAATGGTCAATTTTTTTATTTCTGAATTGTTTCCTTACAAACTCTGAATTTGGTCAGCGAAAGTTATAAATCTGGTAACACAACCTACGAAGATGGTCAACGTTATTTCTAAATGTTTTAATTCGACCACTGAAGCTGGTCATCTTGATTTCTAAATGTGATAATTCTGATGACGGTCAACATGATTTTTAAAATGTCAGTATAAGTTGCGAAATTAGTCGGCATCAGATCTAAAATGTGCCAATATAACTAGAAAGTAGCTTGACTTGACCTCTGAAGTTTTTCAAGATGGCCAATAACATCTGAAAAAAATATCGAAGTTAAAAAAATACGGCAACTCTGTTTCTCGTAGCAACTCCTTTTTATCTGAGTATTTTTTATCGCAGTTAAAATAATTATAGGCTGAACTAATGTGCATATATCATTTTGAACGTTCCAGAAAATTACCAAAAACATGCCGGGTCTTCCTGCTGTGTTTTTATGGTATTTATTATTGCTGATAAATCTTCATTGGTAAGTATTGATTGGAAGAGAAATGCCATGTTTTGCTGGATTGGTACTCTTGTAAAGAAAATCAATCACACTGTTCAGATTCTCACACTCTTTCAGAGAAGTTAAAAGTTCCTGCTTATAGAACCTTATTTTGTCCACTTATTTCACTTGTTATACAAAAGTATCTTATTTCTGCATCAATAAATATTGGTACGTCTCCGTTTGTTAATTAACTTCCCGTAACTTCATTCCGACGAAACTTTAGCGAC